GTAAGGGTGCACAAAGGGGGCAGAGGGTTTGAATATGTTGAGCGTGGGGGCAAAGGGGTGGGGAAGAGAAGGGCTGGAGTGCCAGAGACAGACTTTGGTCAGGAGTCTTACCAGCCAGCCACCCAATCAGCCTGCCTGCCTGCAGAGCTAAATGCTTGAAGAGCTTAAAAAGTTTCTCAGCCAGCCTGCCTACCCAGCCATGTGATTGGGTGAATAACTGAGCCGGAAGAGAGGGAGCTAGTGCTTCGTGGCTGCCTGTTATTCAAACAGGCAGCTCCCATTGGCTAATTTCTGGCCAGAAGCTGGCCAATGGGATTGTGCTGGGGGCAAGAGTTACACCTGAAGACTCCCCCATCCTCCACAGTTTTTAAAAAGAAACAGCCCAGCAGCCACTTTTCAGAGCAGACTGCAGGGCTGCAGGACAAGCAGGGGAACCTGCCTGGGGCTCTCCAAAGTGTCCATGGGCTGGATGCGGCCTGCAGGCCGTATTTTGCCCAGGCCTGCCATAAATGCAAAAAAATTTAATTTTATATCACAGTGGTACAAATTATTGGCCCTCACACAATAAACCTGTTTTGGTTACTATATTAAAATTAAAATGTAAAAAGTGCCAGATTGCTTAGGTCCAATTTTGCCTCTTATGTGCACAGCTATCATTTCCACCAACAATATTAAATACTTATTAATTCAAGTACAGAAACTCATTTTTAACAGGAAGAGAAATTCTGCGCATGTGCAACAATTTTTAACTCCAAAAGTCCTTTTACTTTGTTAGTGTAATAAGTTAGTGCATATACATGCCATCCCAGTTATATTTTAGTCAACACTTAAGGTTGTGAAAGTAACCATGTAAACAGTTAACTGATGAGATGGGCCCATCGGTTAATGTTCATGGTTACACATAGGCTCCCAGTATGAACGAGATTAAAAGCTGGCTCCCTGAGCTGCTGCCTGTCATACAGAGGCAGCAGCACAGGGCAGAAGGTGGGAGCTGGTATGTGTGGACAACCAGCTACCTAGCTCCAGCGGCTCCTGAGGAGTTGACTACCACTCCATGCATGTTTCAAATTTTCATCAGTTACACAGTTAGGGTATGTCTACACTAGCCCCGTAGTTCGAACTAGGGAGGCTAATGTAGGCATTCAAAGTTGCAAATCAAACCCAGGATTTAAATATCCCGCACTTGACTTGCATCTTCCTTCCTTGCAGGAGGAATAACAGGTAGTTCGATTTAGGGCTTCAATTCAAAATACCAGGTCCCTGCCACGTGTAGACGCGGGCAGTTCGTCCGGACTTGGAAATTTCAAAAAGTGGCGACCGGCCGGGAAGATGCAAATCAAGCACAGGATATTTAAATCCCGGGCTTGATTTGCAACTTCGAATGCCTACATTAGCCTCCCTAGTTCGAACTAGGGGGCTAATGTAGACATACCCTTACTGAATTACATGCATTTTAACATTCCTAGTAAACATGACATTGTTAGAGCAATATTAACTACACACATCCCATTAACAACTTACAAGCCTGTAACTTTGTCAGCCAACTCAGTGAAATGAATTACTGAAAAAACATACAGCACATCTAAAACTTTAGCTGTGAATATTCTTCCTTTTGAGGTTTAGTTGCAAGCTTATGACACCATAAAAATTATGTGCATTTCTGGAAGCTGTTAGAAAATTTTCACAGGTAGCTTTAATAAAAGACCACCCAAAGTATTTTTTTGGAGGGGGTGGGGGGGAACCCTTGAATAATTGAAATATGTAAATGGAAATTTTACTTTATGCACACAATGAAAATGGGGGGGATAATCACATATCACTGCATTAGCAGCTAGCAATGTTTAGCTCAATTCTGACATAATTCTGTTTGTATAATGTTTACAATACTGAATACATTATCTCTTCACTTCCTGTTCTAAACTTTTGAGCAGCATTTCTGCACACCAACGAATAACTACTGAGTTTTGAGTAGTGAAGTAATCCTCTAGTGGTGAAATAGCCCCTAGAGAGCATACTTTGGTTCAAAAGACTCTACAGACATGTAAAAGATATTATGAACAGTGACTGACAAAGTCCAATAGTACCAAGACATGTATTAACATTAAAAATTATGTTTATGAACAGGATTGCCAATAAAGAGATGGTGTCAGGCACGGTTAGCCCAAAATACAGGTTTTGTACAAATAAAGACTTTGGTAGAAATGTTTTAATTCCATTTTAAAATTTTTAGACTTGCAACTATGTTTGGTTTTATAATCACATGAAACATGCTCTTCCAACATTATCTAAATCACTATAACAAAGTGGGAACATGCAACTGACAAAATTATAGTGAGATTTGTCTATTTTCATTATCCAAGCAAAGAGTAAAGGAGCTAGAAATTGACATATGTTTCTGCATTTATCAGGAATTGAGAAGGCTTCCTGATGTTTTCTACAGAATTTAAATTTTCATTAAAAAATTAAGATCCTACTTTCAGAGCTGTTAAGCACCTACAGCTTCTACTGACTTTAAATGAAGTTACCTGTACTAATAATCTTTTGAGAAAGATTTCCTGTCTTCCGAAACAAGGGGAGAATGAAAGAGTAGCTCCAAAAGGTGCTAATTTCCCTCCATGTCAATGATGTTAACTCTGAAGACAGCAAAGAAATTAAATGCCATTAAAACTTCTGGGTGTTGTAGCTGAAACTTCCCAATGTGATGGTAAGTTCCATCCATTTGGAGATAGTGGAACAGGTGTTCATGTATCCAGTTTGTGGTTTTGTCCCTCTCCAACTCACAACTCTCCACTCAGTTTCCCTCTGCCTTGCAACTCAGGTCCCTGGTGATTATGCTGAGGACCATTGCTTTGCACCAGCTGTCAGCCTCTGAACTTTATCATGTGCTAGCATAACCTTATAGCATAGAAAGGCTCTTCCGTTGCTGTAGGAACACCACCTTCCCAGGCAACAGTAGCTAGGTCAAAGGAAGCATACTTCCATCAACATAGCCATGTCTACACTGGGTGTTAGGTCAGCATAGCTACGGTGTTTGGGGATATAGATTTTTCAAACTCCTATAATTATGTAGCTCTAAAAATATGGACTAGGCCTTAGAAACTGCTTGCCTGAGGCAGCTGAACGTTTAGTTTATTGAGGGGGAAGCAATGCTGGAAATCTCTTCAAGAGAAGATTAGAAGGCCAGGAAGGAGATTTGACAGCACAGTATGGTTGAGCATTTCCTACAATGAACTTATTCCAAAGTCTTCCTCTGAAGTTACTAAATCTTCCCAATTCCTATAACTGCTTAGTCCCACACCACCCCCAGGAGTTAACCTCATCGTGGCTCTGCAGTTTAAATGTAGTAGGAGCCAGGCTGCCATGGTGAGCACCCCCCACTTATTGACTAATCAAGTTGTCGATTGAAATTCCATAGACTACCCAATTAGTTGATTAATCACAATCCCTTGACCCTACACTATTCAAGACTTTACTTGGCCTACCATCTCAGATGGGTATGTACTCAGGGTGACTATCCACTCTCACTGTCACCACTGCCATCAAATTTTAGCAAACCAGCTCAACGTGTACACATTTCATTAGTGAGACAGACACTTGGAACAGGGAGTAGGACCCCGCTGTCAGCTGTTTACTTTGATACCTTACATTTGAGTGATGCCTTGCATCACACATGGACATCTGACAGCATAGAAAGGAATAAGCCACAATAGATATGCAAACTTAACAAAATATCTCAATCCACGCAAAGCTTCTGTGGGTTTTTTTTGGCAAAAGTCCCCAGTGAAATCATACCACTTTTTGGGAAGTCTGTACCAATGTCTCTGAAATCCCCCTGCACGTTTCCCATGACTGACATATACAGCAAAAAACAAACAGCAAAAACAGTAAATAACTAGAAATCTTTCAAGTTCTTTCAGTTATAATAACTTAAATTTTTACTAACCTAAGCTTCATAAAGACAATAAAGATTTTAAGTGTGAATTTTAACTGATAAAGAGCCTTTTCATTTGTGTGCTCAGACAAGTCAGTGTTTCCTTGAACTGTCTGGGCAAGTCTGCTCCTAGCCTCCTCAGTGGATGTCACAGAAGGTGTGTTTCAAGAAAACATGGAAACAGAGACATTGTAACACTCAGTCACCTCCCACAACTCAAACCCCTCTCTGGGGGGCTGGCAAGAAGCTCTGTCCTTGTACCGTGGGCTGGATGTGAACCTTGGGTCAAGTCACACAAGTGCAGCTCAATAAAACCTCTCTCAAAAAGAGTGGGACCTAGGCAAGCCACTAAGGACCCCAGAAGAAGCACTTGGTAGAGAAATCGAGAGGGAACATCTAGACATTCCCTCCCTCAACGAGTGGCACTGAACTTCCCCCTCTTCTCCCCTCCACCACACGGCAAATCCTAGGCCTCAGTTTCCCTCTGATACCCGCATCCTCTCCTCCTTCCCGGCCCCGGTTACCAGTCTCACACTCCAAAAGAGGCAATGTGCCCAAAACTACCCAAATCTGGGGCTGGAGTAAGCAGTCCTCCAGCCCTCCCCGTCCCCA